TTAAGTATGGGACAGAGAACCTCTAATAAGACTGCCACATAAGCTCATAACTTAACCAAGGTGAGTTGACTAATCTACCCTTATTCGGCTAACTCTAACAGCACCGATTTCAAACAAACAAGAAGAATGCAAAAAAACGGGTTACATTGTGAACCCACTTTTCATTCTTGAACCGGAAAGAGGGTATTTATGCAGACTTGCAGAGTATATATTTGCATTTGCATCACAACCAAATGCAGCCAAAGTTACAGCAGATTCAGGTGTAAGAACACCTTTGTACCTTCAAAAGAGATGCGTACCTGGGAGTGTTGGGCACCAACTCCAGCAGCAGCACCATTTGGTCCTCTGAAAACAATGGGTACAGATATCTGACCAGCAGACATGTAGTTTGATTTTGCAGCAGAATTAATAATATGGTCAATTGCCTGCATGAAACCCAAAAGTCAGTCCACACAAAAACATTTATAGCAATGGTTATTCATGCAAAAAGATGACTTTACACCAGTCCCAAAGTAAATTATAGTATTGAGACTTGAATCTATATTATCTAGAAATATGAAAAATTCAACTCTAATCAAAAAACTCATTGGCTTTCAGTACATTAACACTGATAACTTCTTTACAGATGCCTGAACATATTATGTTTTTAGCCAACTAAAAATTAACAACAATCAAACAAATAGGGGGTTAAAGACATGAAAGTTTCATCCCAGTAAAGACCTCAGATGAGAAGAACATGTTTTTCTTCCTCCTTAGGATGGTTTTGACATAAAGGAAGCCACCATTCAAATATTCTGCAATCCATAAAAGACCAAATGCTAAGGAGGACGTGGGAAAGATGAAGCCAACATAACCACAGAAATAATTAGTGCAGGCATCAATTTAAAAATGCAGCTTTTAAGAGTATATAATATATTAAATTATTAATATGCAATCAAACTTCCATATGTCAGATACAAGAACACAGACTTCTAAACCACCCCCATGCTTAAAACACAGTTCAAACTAAACACCACATTAAGCAATGGTAAAGGCCTTACCAATCCCTCAAGGAAAACCTACAGTTCTTTCTTTTTCAAACTGACCAACAGACAGCAAATGGAACCATGTTCCAAAGAAAATCTCTAGATTTCTATTACAACCCCATACAGAATATGGACCAGGAAGGAATAACTTTACTAACTAAAGGGCAAGTCCCATATGTTAATGCATAATAAGGAACTTATTCATACTTTGTTCATCTCAATTTACAAGAATTTCAAAAAACATTATAATCCCACAGGCTCTCATCCCAACCTTTTGAAAATTACCACTTTGTCCTAACTATGCAGGCAAATTATTTGGAATACTCAACTCCAAAATTACCCCAACTATATTGGGTCAGCTACAAGAATCCTGTTCCCCTATTCCACTTTATCAAGCACCATATCCTCTGTTAAAAATGTCCTAGCATGAAAATGAAACAACAATTCAGGAAAATTACGTATTGTTTTAATTGCTAGCAAATTTTGAAGCTAAATATGAAACGTAAGGTTACACAACTTTTAAGTGTACAACATGATCTTAGTTTTCATATTTTCTACTAAAAAATGTAGCATTAAATCAGCATAACTATCTGGCAGCATGGCATGTCTTGGGCCCTTGGCCATTTGTAATACAATAGGAGATAATATCAAACACGTCAAGGGGGAAAGGAAAAAGGTAATAGATCCCCAATTCAATGGCATTATGCAGTGTTCCCCTATAATTAATATTTTATATATGAATAACTCCTATGAACCTAAAATCATTTGAAAGCAATTTGGTGGCATGATCTATAACAAAAATCCTCTAAAATCTATACCAATATTTTCAAGTTTTCTTCTTTTTAATGATTTTTTATTTTACTACCAAAATAACCTTTCAAGGAAACTTTTGTCTAACATCGGATAATAGTGTATACACAATCTCCATGCATGTGTGCGTTTAATAACAGTGTTTAGAAAATTGGGCTGGACAGGTCGGTTGGACCAATTGTATTGTGACCTGGGAACTTAGCCGGTTCGGTCACACCCCAATAACCATATTTGCTAAAAACCAGTGAAAAACCAGCTAACAGGCTAGTTTAACCAGAAAACTGGTGAACTGGTCCCGGTTTCATGAAACCACCCAGGTCATTAAATAATTGAAATTTTAAAGTGTGTTTAACAAGACTTGATCCCCATGACCTCTTATTTTCACATATTGCTTAATTACAACTAATCCACCTCTTTAATTGTGTTAATTAATGACTCTTTATTGTATGCATTACTTTATACACTTTTTTTTGATAAATAACAAATACTTTTATTAAGAGATATTAATATAGAAAAATACAAAGGGAGGGGTAAAAACTCTTAACCCTCCCAAGAGAACATTTCAGATTACAATGTTGCCTAGAACAAATTATCTCTTCCCACCCCTTGTTTAGCCAATGAATCTGCCAAGGAATTGGCGCACCTCTTAGTCCACTAAAATTTGACTTCCATATTTTGTATGAGATATCTAATTTTCTTCTTTTCATTCAAAAACTTCCACAAGCTAGAATCATCTTTCATTAACCAGTTGATAGTCAATTTAGAATCACCTTCCACTATCAGGTTTCTGATATTTAATTCTCGAGCTCTTTTTAACCCTTCCATAACAGCCAATATTTCAGCTCTAAGAGAGTCCCCCCAACCAATAGGACCCGAATACAGTGCGATAATTCGACCTTCATCATACCTGAAAGCTCCCCCTATACCTGACAGACCTGGATTTCCTTCGCTGCTTCCATCAAAGTTTAATTTAGTGAACCCTGAAGCTGGAGGGGACCAAACTGGGTGAAATACATTCTTCCTTGGAACTGACCAAGCCACATCTTTGCACTTCCTGATGATATCTCCTGGAGGGGACCAAGCCACATAATTTCAAGAAAAAGTAAATTAAAATACTTCAACCCAAATCATTTGCTTTAAAAGTTAAAGAACTTGTCATCCATCCACCATATTTAAGTATACTAAAAGTAGTAAAATATATTGTATATACTATTTATACGACCCACAGTATATATACGTATATGCCACATCATCACAGTTCAACCTCTGGTTCAACCCCAATTGAACCTCTGACCCGTGAACTTCTCCCTTCTCCGGTTCTATGCTTGGCACAATCCTTTGAACATTGTTCAATAATATAGCATTAATATTTCACTATAGATACAATAAAGTACCCATATTACTAAAGTAATATCAAAAGAAGTCCTCTCTTCGTCAACCAAGCAAAAGGAGGACCATATAAGCTTGCAAAGTTAACAGGAGAAGCCTACCTGCAACCACACAAAGCAAAGAACCATTGCCAAATACCAATAGCAAATGGGCATGAGATTAATAAGTGGAAGCATGATTCCCCATTTACTTAGTAGAGAACACACTAATATGGAGATAGTAGTGTTTTCAACCCACCACTGATCCGGACGGTCAAACTATTCAAACCATCACTTGGCCATGTTTTTAGGTCCAATGTTCCTAAATCTTGACTTTTGACCAAAAATTGTTAACTTGGTCAAAAACCATCCGACCTGGGTGGTTGACCTGTTGGCCCATTCGACCAAGTCACCAAGTCACAAGTTACACACTAAAACTTTCTAGATGCCAAAACTTTGCATTCGGTTGTTCAATTGGGGTGATCTATATATCAATTTTGGTGTTTTTTAGATCTATGCACTCCAAGGTGCCTTGACCATCTATTTTTGCCAAAAAAAAACTTTTTTGGCCTCAAATCCCAATTTTTAGAAGTTTTGATAAATAAAAAATTAAAAACTGAAATAGAAAATACAAATTGAACATAAAATAATACACATACATACATATAATAAATGTAGAATATAATTATACATTATTTTATTCATCCATAAAATGTTGACATGTCACAATCTGACCCGTTCGACCCAGATGATCAAACCGATGACCCACAAACCAGAGGAAAAAGTGGCCCGACCTTCAATCAGTTTTTAAAACATTGGGAGATAGACATGTATGTGGTCTTCTTTTTATAGCAAGTAATAAGTATTAATTCTCTCATGATAAACCTTGGGAGATAGACCTCTATCCCTCCCTTTTTTACATTTCCCTCTATAAAAAAGGAGCATGTTTCGAGGTTTCTTTCTCCCCCCCCCATTTTCCCATTGTCTCTTAACTAGGATTTTGGGTTTCGTAGAGGGTTGAGGGATGAGGAATCGGTTTCTGCCTCTGAGCTCTTACTTTTACTTGATTTTGTTTGTTTGGGCCCTCCTAAACCAAATAGAAGAATTTGGTCTTTAACCTCGAGTGGCTCCTTCTCTTGTTCTTCCTTCTTTAAGTCCTTATTCTCTACTCCTTCCCCTTTGTTGTTCCCAATTAAAGAAGTATGGTCAAGGCCAATTCCACCTAAAAGTGTTGGTTGTTGTTGGGAAGTGTATCATGGTAAAATTAATACTGTGGACAATGTACAAAAAAAGAGACCTTATTCATGCTTGTCCCCCAATTGGTGCATTTTATGTAAAGTGTAGAATGAGGACTGTTATCACCAACCGATTTCTTGCTCTTTTATAGTAAATATTTGGAATTGGGTTTTTATGTTGTTTGGGTACAGGTGGAGCCTGCCTCTTGAAGTAAATCTGCTTTTTGATTCGTCTATTTTTGGTTGGCCAACAAAGAGAGGGAAAGTAATGTGGAAATGTATTAGGGAAGCCCCCGTATGGACCATTTGGGAGGAAAGAAATGCTAAAATTTTCCAGGAGAAGGAGAGAAGCATTGCTGAAATAAAGGATTGTATACTAACAAGGGCAATCCTTTGGCTAAAAACTACTAATCTCTTTGCGGATTACTCTAGTGATGACCTTCGAAGGAGTTGGGCAGCAGTGGCTTCCACCTCATCCAAGAAAAATAGAACACAAGCAAGTTGGTTACCCCCTCCGGAAGGAGTTGTAAAGTTGAACTTTGATGGGAGCAATCAAGGCAATCCAAGACCTTCGGGTACAGGAGGGATCTTGAGGAATAAGGATGACAACATTCTATCCTTATTCTTGGGTCCAGTTATTATGGAGACTCTACAAGGGCTGAGATATTAGCTATGGTACAAGGACTATAGATTTCCAACCAGCTTAGAGTGACTAATTAGATAGTTGAAGGAGACTCTAAGGTGAAAGTGAGATAGATGTTGGACCCAGAAACTGTTGTTTGGGGATATAGGGACATCATCAAAAAAGTCAAATGGCTTATGAGAACCATGTCAGTTAGCTTTCAGTGGGTTAGTAGATCGGCAAATGCTTTGGCAGATTCTTTAACTAAACAAGGGGCTTCAAGAGATTTTCTATTTTTGGCTATTTTGTAACTGTAATTTGAAAAGAGTTGGGTTTGGAACCACCTTTAAGGGGAGGTAACACCTTGTGCCTCCTCTTAGGGTGCTTCATGCTTTTACTATTTCTATCTCTATTTATTCATAAAAAAAAAAGAAAAAAAAACTCCCAATTGAAAGCTCCCACTCTTGGAGGGATGGGTCTCCCCAAAAACTCTTTCACTAGAAAAGATTGTTGTAGAGGCAATGGATATGCTAGGGCTTTGAAGAAGGGAGCACGAGAAAAGGAGCTAGACGAATATAAGGTCCAAACTCGCTATTTTTTTGGCTATCAAAATTAAGTTTGGTCCACTCTGCCACCATTACAGATAGTTCTTGGCATTTTTCTCTAATAATTGGTGCTTTCATGTATAAAAAAATCAAAGCCTATCTGAATATTTTTCAAATTGTGTTTTCTACTCGGTTGTGAAAGGAAGATGGCAAACCAAACTTTTTCAGGATTATCCAAGTACATATATGCCTATAATTGAGAGTTGTAAAGAAAAAGAAAACAAAAAGCAATGCATATATGAGTACAAAATATTTTTTTTCATAGCAACCACTTACAAATAATAATCTCTAACAATTAATAGTATTCTTTACAACATGACTACTAGTTATTAGAGTACCTACTAATGTAAAGTAATTGGTGTAGACTAGAACAAGGATTAGAAGATCAAAAAGGCTTCATTATCCAACCCCAACATAGTTGGGAGTTGGGACAAGGCTTAGATGCCAATGATGATGATGATACTATTTCTACAAATAGAACATCTGAAAACAACTCTGACCTGCATCGAGAAGTTAAATGTCATAAATTCTATTACAGGCCGGAGACCATAATAAGCAGCACCAACTCCAATTCCTGTAAAGCCAGCCTGCAGAAGATTTAATATCAATATCAATATCAATATCAATAAATGAAGTGAAACAATAACTATCAATGACAATGAAAATGAGAATTACAATTACTGAGCAATTTCAGGCATGCCAAACTGCCAAATTTAAAAACTAGAAGAATGGCATTTAAGTATCATGATTCTGCAAATGAACAACATGTCCTACAGATAATTTAGACTAGAGAGTCAACCTCTGTGATTGGAGTGTCAAAAACCCTATCAGGACCATATTTCTCCAAAAGACCTTTAGATATCTGTTAAAATACAGGTTGTTAATGAGAAGACTCTTAAAAAACCGAAGAAAAGAAAAAAAATGAAAGAAAAGCAAAAGTTTCATCTCATTAAGAATGGACCTCACCTTGTATGCGCCTTGGTATTCTCCAACCTGAAAAAGGGGAAGGCAAAAGGAACATAAGAAAAGAATAAATGAGAAAAATCTGGCTAAGTGATCCCATTCATTTCTTTTTCTTTTCTTTTCTTTTTTTCTGATAGTCTAAGTGCTCCCTTTCTTTTTATCCTTAGTTACCTCTTCACCCATCAGAAAGACTTTAGGATCAGCAGACATTTCCTCATCAAGTGCAGAATTTAACGCTTCACGCACTGTCATCTGTTAATAAATTATATTTCAACAAAACTAGAAAGAAAATAGTATATACAAAACCCACTGTAACTACTACAAATGTTTACAATATCAACCATCTAATAGGGAATATAGAAATGTACATATTAATAGCTCTTCTGACAACATGGAGCACTTAGCATAAGTTGTCAATAGAGAAGCACGTAACTACTACAAATGTTTACAATATCAACCATGCAATAGGAATGTAGGAGTGTACATATTAATATCTATTGTGACAGCACATGGACCACTTAGCAAAATGTGTCAGTAGAGAAGCACAGGATACCAAAAAAAATATAAAATATTATGTGGCTATTGTCACTGCTACAAATGTTTACAATATCAACCATGCAATAGGAATATAGGAGTGCACAAATTAATAAGCACCAGATGCCAAAAAAATTATAAAATATTATATGGCTGGCAGGCTATGCATAAATTGGCAGGGTAGAAGAGCTAGGAGCAAACCAAAAAGGAATTGGGTGGAAGTAATAAGAACTGATTTAAGCACCCATAATTTTAAGAATGGATATGGTACTGAACAGAATGAAATGGAGAAACAGGATTCATGTAGCTGACCCTATATAGTTAGGACAAGGCTTAGACAACAATGATGATAATGATGATGATGTGGCTGGCTATGCACATGCACATAGAAAACATTAACCAGATATAGGGGAAAACAAGACTTGTAGGTTTTGTGTTTTTGACGAAAAGAAAGAATAAAGAGAGAAAGAAACAAGATCTTCCAAAAAGGTACAAGTGAATCTCTTAAAAAACAAATCATTTCCCTCTTTAACAAGTTTGGTTGAGAGAAAGGGCCCCTTCAGCAAGTAATCCATCTTTCAACAACCTTGTCCAATTCAGAAGTCTGGAAGGGAAATTTTAAGGACTCTTGGCATGTGTAATTATTTATAGTTTTCTTCAAGACCTCAAACTATGTTTCTAGAGAAAACCTTCTTGCCCATAAGTCTGTCAGTGAACCATCGTGCATCAGGTGCATTGTGTAGATCAATGTACAAAAAGTTAAATGAGATTGGGAATGTGCAATTGAGTATATATGAAATATGAGGATGTGACTCTCTGTGAACACACAATACCACTATATTGTAAAATCAACCCATAACGTTAATGTATATAAAGCTTAACGTAAAATTCAACTATTGACTGCTTGGAAGATGCAATTAGAAGAAGCTTCAGATACCTCTTTGGGCGCAGTTGAGTAATTTCTTAATGCAAATAAGGAAAGACGGACTCTCTGCAATGTCTGCCCCACAGTCTGAAGGGAAAGTCATCTTTCAGAGAGCAAAAAATAAATAAACTAATAAATCGAAATAATTAATAGACAAATTAAAATTCAACCATGCTAGCCCAACGTCTAAATGTACAGTAGAATGGACAAGGTACAGAATGTTGTTAGATTTTACCGAAGAAGGAAAGACTCCACATCTGGCCTTTTGCTTTATAATCCCCAACATCCTTTCTCTTTTGTTTCAATGGCCCTGATAAAGAATTGGGAAAAGATATTTCTCAAATTAGATGATAAAATATCAACTTGCCACCACAGATAGGGTAAAACTAGAGTAAGGATGGAAAAGAGCCTCAAGATCCAAACTTACGGTCTACCGTTTCTCTAGTTCTATGGTATAAGATTCAGAACTTGAAATTTAGGTGTGATTTCAAAAATCAAATATCAAGGATCCGACGAGAACGAAAACACCTAATGCAACTTACACTAAAACAGAGCAATTTAAAAAGCGAAAAAAAATAATAAATGATAATATAATTAAAATAAAAAGTAAAGAAGCACCTGCGCGAAGGAGAGAAGGAAAAAAGAAGAAGATTGAATTCGGAAACTCAAAGATGATATCGAAATGGAGAAGGGTCTCCAATTACAGAGAAAAGAGAGCAGGAAAAGGGGGTTACATTTACAAATGGCGGTCCAAGGAATCGCACGGCCACCCTATCGGAACTTGTCTAGATAGACAGTTCTGCACCTAATTAAAATCAAAATCAGCTGCTCTTCCTCTCTGTTTTTTGAGTCTCGATAGGGTCACTAGGTCACCCCTCACCCGCGGTCTACCCTTGTAAGATCACCCACGAATTCAATGTAATGCCACGTGTTGCATTCTGAAATTCTTCTACAATTTTGTTTTAAACTTTTAATTCTTCTCTTCGAGGAATTAAATACGAACGAGGAGATATCATTTACAGATTTTCCCACTCTCCCGGGTCTCCATCACGTACGTTGTGGGGTGAACACTTACACCCTAATGAGACCACAATCAGTCTATTGTCGTAGAAAATGATAACGGTCGATAGAAATTTTAGAAAAGAAAATCTAAGATCAGTAATCAATTTGTGGGAATAAAAATGAACAGATTTAATTAAGAAGGTATAAGAGATTCTGATCGCCCAATCAGAAGATGTTTAGAAGTTTTGGCAAATGAGAATATATTACCCTACTGATCGGAAGTTCGCCGGTTTCCGATTTAAGACGGCCGGCTGCAGGAGTCCGCTATCCTGTATGGGAAATGACAGGAACAGGATTAATCTTTTGTCAACATTGAGGATGCAGCGCTATTCAAAATCGGGAAAGCCATCAACAAATAATTTTATCAATTAGATTGCAGAAAAAAAAATTATTTCCATTAGTAAAAGTTAATTGAGTGGTGACAGAAAACAAAGAATAAAGTCGGGGATATAGAGAATAAAGTCTAGAGTAAATTTCTTAAATTACTTCTTCCACTATCTAAGGTGAGTGGATTGGGTGAGACAAATGGATTAGGGTCAAATTAACAGCCCTACTCGAATTGTCCACAAAAACCAACCCAATCAATTCTTTCAATTTATCATTGGGTTCCTACATAGTTAAAATGGGAAAATAGGTAAGATTTGTAGCTCACAACTCAAATTAAAAATAATAAATCAACTTAAGAAAAAGTATATTACTTGGGGGAGCACATTTAATTGTTGTATGGTATTACTATTGAAAATCTGAAAAAGAAAATCAAATAATACAACATATTAAAATTTATATTTTAGATGAAACATGAAGTCGGAACCTCATATAAAAAAATCTAATCATGAGAGTGGAAAATTCTTCAATAAATTCCCTTCTAATTGCAGAAACATAAAAAACGTACGAATTTTTAGCTTTTTTCCTCACTGCTGAGAACCGCTCATTCAAGATCGAGAGACGAACTGACGAAGGTTTCAAAGGAGGGAGAGAGGAGATGAGAGATGAATAAGGTTCGAGAGGGAAGAGAGAAAGCAATGGGTTTGAGAAAGAGAGGCCAAAAGGACTATAATAACCCAAGAAAAATGTATGGGGAAGGTAGAAACTAAAAACTTTAGTCATACACTCGAATGGTGTAACATGTATAAAATAATTTAATGAACTTTTTTTATATAAGAAGATGTACAAGGATAAGATGTATCGGAGACTCCTGATTCAATTACAATAGATACTCCTAATTCAATTACTAATTGTAATCCTAACAACATAAAACCAAGCAAAAAAAAATTCGATATCAGCACCAAGCAAATTCACCGGCCAAGGAGGAGCAATGGTTGCACAACCATGCAAATCCAGATTACAAGCACAAAAGGCAGCAATTGAATGTGCTATGTGATTAGGAGTCCTGCAAATCCAGATTATGGAAGAAAATAATGAAAATTTCCTCATTGGATCTTGAATATCCAAGATAAATAGGATATGCCTCACTTGTCTATGAATCCAAAGACGCATTCACTGCGCCATAGAGTTCTTTATAATCCATCTTTTCTATAACCTCTTTAGCACCATAGTTGAAAGCTTCCACCAAACCTTTCCTAATGAACAAAGCTTTAATAACCAAAATTGGGGCCGGATGGACTGTACCTCCACCTGCCATAATCAGACCTCCATTTGATGAGTGGATCATAAAGCCAAAAGACTGCCCAACATCCGTGAGATGAGAGAGAAGCATCCGAGTTTATTTTAACTTTTCCTCTTGGAGGGTTAGGATTTTAGGGGCAGAATCAAACAACTATTTCTATCTCTATTTATTAGATTTGATATATTACTAATAAATATGAGATATTTTCCAAAGTTTTATTTATCCTTTATGAGTATGAGGCTAGTTGGAAATTAAGGGACACATGACAATAACAATGGGACAAATAGGGAAAAATGGAAATAAAGAAAATATAACGAATACACATCTAAACTTGAAGTGCACCATATTTTATAATCTATATCTATACTATTATTAAATGTGTGAAACTTTTGTTTGACTAAAATGTCTCAGTTTTTTGGATTTAGTCCATTTTTAATTGCAGTGACAAAACAATAATTTCATAACCACTTTTCTCATTCAAATTCATTTCATTAAATCTTATATTTGAGGTTAACTTCCACAACATTATTTGAATATTTAAAATACCTTTATTTTTGAATTTGGTCACTCTCTATCTATATCTATATATATACTTCTATTAAAAGTGTGAATGATAGTATGAAACTTTTGTTTGACTAAAATATTTCAAATTCTAGGTTTGACCATTCTCTAGTTGTAAGAACAAAAAATGTAATTTGAATTTGGTCATTCTCTATCAATTCTCATTTTTTTCATTGAATATCATACTGCAGTTATCAAAGAGGTTTAAATGTGCATACCTGTATCCATCGCAATAGTAGAAGCCTTTGCGAAATGAGTGATGAATCAATGGTAGGTCGACTGTGGTTTTCCTCAATTAAATCTTCCTTCTTCCTTAGGTTTTCTCAGTTCTTGACTCTAATGGGGTAGAGTAAGAGGGCGGCTAGATGATTTAACATATTGGGAACCATAACCTAGGAGCCTTTATATTTTGACCTAATAGGATCCCATTAAGCCTATATGGGCCAAAATGTGGTATCCACTCATTAAGCCCCATACCCTTTTATTGAAGTCTACGGGCTTTGCCTAAATGAATCACTTG